TGGTCCTTTCTAAGGCGAGGGCTCTGGGCTGGGGGAGAGTTGCTTGTGAGAGCAACATTTTTATGCCTGACCTTTCCCATCTGGTTTTAGCAGTCTCTTCCACAGGAACATATTTTCTGCCTCATTCTTCCATGTCATCATTGCACAATTCATGTACTGAAAAGCATGATCATACTGAAGAACGTTCCTCAAGGTATAAAAAGTAAAGCCATATTAATATGCTGAGCTGTAAAGTCAACAACCTCTGACTTTGCCAATCCTACGGATAACCCACTACTGTTATGGACTGCTGAACTATATTGGATCATTTTGCTGAATTCATGCACCTACAATATTTAAATGGCAATGGAATACTCATCTCTGACAAAACTAAACAAAAAGGGGACATAAATGAGGGAGCATTTTGTATCCGTATATACTAACTAGTTAGGATATATATACAGCTACTTTCTCTTAATTCAATGAGAAGAAAGATTTGTACTAATAGTGTTTGTGAACAGGATATCATGTCTGCATCTTGTACTATGAATAACTATTACAAAGACAACAATATGCCATGTATTACTGAAACTGTCCTATTAATTGGTATTGAAACTGACTCGTTGCTATTCGTTTCTCAATAAAATTAATAACAAAAAAAGAACATTTCACATGTTTCTCCTGTCTCTATTATACACTGTGCTGCTTTGCACATGCTTGGGCTGCATGTTCTAGTGCAGTCTTACACCAGGATAAACTTTCACAAAGGGGATGCTAAGTATGAAGCTTATGTGAAGCCCACAAGCTGGCAGTCATGGCTGAACTGGCCTCTGCTGCTCCACAGGCAAACTGAGAACTTGCCATCCACCTCTACTGAGGAAAAGCCCAGTGGCACACGGGTGTCATCTCAATACTCTGAGAGGCTGAGGCAAGAGGCTCACAAGTTCAAGCCCAGCCTGCGCAACTGAGTGACTCAGTGAGTGCTTCTCTCAAAGTGAACAGTAAAAGGAGAAGCGCTAAGGATGTACTGAAGGTTCAATCCCCAGGACTGCAAAATAAACCCTAAATGAAGAATACAGACTTCTGACGGCAAGCAGTAGCTGTGGAGGTGTTAACCATCGAGGGACCCCGGGGCTCAGCCCACCAAAATGAACCATCTACCATCTGCCCAAATTTCTACGTCCCTATCTTTCCCAGCCACAGGGAGCTGATCTACTACTACCCAATCTCCTTCCCCCAAGGCAAAGGCCTTTCTCCCCATGCCAGGACTATAGCCTCAGGTCCACTAGAGGCCCCTCATGCCAGACCTGGCCATGACCCCACAACTTGCCCTGTGGGTATACCCCACAGAACTTCTGCATGCTCTGCCTCTGTGGCCAGCCCCCAAATTCACAAATGTCCTCCCCTCACCCTCTGAGCTCACCACCCTGATGTCTATGGCTCCCTACCTCTCTCTCTCTTCTGGTTCCTGCTCCAAAGCTGCCACCTTACAGAGCCCCATCCTTAGCCCCAGACACTCTCAATTACTGTACCCTACCTTTGTTTCCTTCAGATATGCTTTCGACTCCAGGGGATACTTTCTGCTTCCATGAGTCTGTCCAATCTGTTCTACAAGGGTGAGCCTCTGTGCTGTTCAAGGTGCATGCCAGAACCCACACAGATACCTGGCTTGTGGTGGGTGCTCCCTATGGACGTGGGTGGAAGCTGCTCATCTATTGGGCACATGTTTCAAGTTCCCCACTGAGATTTGGATATACTACATCCTATGTACATTATGCTTTTCCCAAAAATGCTTAATTTAGGAACAGTAATTAGGCACACAGTAAAAATCACAGTAAAAGCTTAACAGGCACAGTAATAGCTTAGCAATGACCTACTGAGATGTTGACAATGAAAGCATATGATTTTTCATCAAAAATAAATTTCACGAGAGCACAGGCCTGGCAAGTGAGTGAGACGACCTGGGGCCTGCGGGATCCTGAACAGACCCAGAGCGCAGGACCGGCCAGTGAATGAGACAACCTGGGCCTGCGGATCCTCATTCGACCCAGGCTGCAGGCCCAGCAGAGAACCCTTCAGCAGAACTCCCTGCAAAGAGGCTAGAGGCAAGACCCACCCACCTGATTCAGGAGCAGAACATCTTCCCAGAGAGACACAAAGGGTTCAACTCTAACACCTGCAGCAGAAAGAAGTGGAGCACACAGCCAGAACCAAACAACACCCACCTGGAGGAATCTGAACTTAATAGATCCAGACCTGGTGCTAAGGTAATAACTCT